AACCATATATAGTAATATAATAAGTTTGAGACCCGAATTCGATTCTTAATTTATGGGACATAAATTTTTTTAGAGGAGGATAAATGTAATAACTGAAAATATAATAAATAAATGACGCAGTAAATCCTGTGGCGCAGTAGGTCACATGATATGGTTACACAAGAAGAAATGGTTGGGAATACAAAAGTCACGTGACAAGTCACATGGCGCAGTAATTGACGGATAAACATTTAGCCGATGGATAAATAATTAGCCAATAAAATTATATTTATAGTTTAGTTTAGTGTAACAAGAAAGTCATATGATAATACATCTTTTATTTCTTATTATTCTTAGAATTTTGATAGAGAGAAAGAGTAGTAGATAGTAGAAATGATTTTCTTAAAATGTATAAATACAAGTGGATTTCGATAGGAAATTCCGCAGTTCAATTTTTAAAAAAAAAAATAATAAAATTTTTAATTCGCCTTTAATAAAAACTAACACATTCTTTTTGCCTTTTTCTTATGAGTAAAAAGTGCCACATTAATTATTTTAATTAATGGTTTATTAATGTTTTGTAACTAAATTTTATTTTAAACCAAGCATAGATATTATACGAACTCAACACGTCGGTGGCAACATACGATATTTTATCTTAATATCCTATGGGCGGCGTGTCACAGGGTGGGAGGGTATTTAAAGGTCATATAACATATAAGTGTAACGTAAGATTTTTCATATTACATGGGGGTGGGGGAGTATGGGCTTATAGTAAATAGATATTACGTAATAAATGTCACTGCCCTAAATGTATTTAATTAATTAAATTTTGTTATATATTAATAATATTATAAGGATTTAAAATTTGAACGCACCTGCGTTTTGAACGCACTCCCTTTTTTGGGGCACGGCTAAAGCGGGGCAGGGCTGCAGTGGCTCAAAAAATTTTGTACCGGATTCTCCCGACGGCACATAGCGGAAAAATATTTACCCACAGTGGCCCAGCTCGTTACAACAGTGTCACTGTGGCGTGGTTGAGGCGGTCCTTCGTGACGGTGAGGCTCGTGCCAGCACTCGCCACACCCACTAAGGACCTCCCAAGCTCAGCCACAGCTCAACGTTGTGCCGGCTGGGCGCCACAGGTAAATATTTTACCGCACGTGCCACATCGGGGGAATCTGGAAAATTTTTTGAGCCACATTAGCTCCGCTTTAGCCGTGCCCCTTTTTTGGAAATTTTTATATTAAAAATGCTGATCATTTTATCACGTGATATCAGAGAATTTCTGAATAAACGCAGTTTAATGTGTATATTTTCCTCCTCTTCAACTCTACTTATCATGGCAAAAAGGGTTTAAAACTTCATTTTTAACTTATAACATGGGGGTACGTTCAAATGCAGGTGCTTTTATAATATTATATTATGTATATAATAATAGAAAATTTAGTTTAATTAAATTATAAATTAAAACTGAAAATATTAGATGAAATACCAAATTTAATTGATAGGATATATGTCGATTTATAATGATTTTATATTAGTTTTATTAATTGTCTTCCTTATATTAAAAATATTTAAGTTAGAATTTGTTTATATAGTAAGATAATATATTGTAATTTTATTAAATCTGGTACTTGATACAATGTATGGCAGATGCCGGTTATAACTTTAATTAATTATATTCATTCAGCAAGCTTTTTAGCATGCCGTTCCGAATTACCAACTTCTTTACTTTATAAATAATTAAATAATAAAATAACAATGTTATCTTAATGTATCTTGAAAAAAAAAAAATTGACTAAATCCTTCCTTACGTTTTACGTTTTCCAGAAGCTCTAGGTTTAGGTCCCCAATTCTTTTCAGGATTTTGTTGATATCTTACCAACTTAATTTTTCTTGAAGGTGGTTCGGCATCTTTATGTATTTTAAAATCTGCGATAAAACTATAAATATAATATTTCTAATTAATTATCATAAGGAATGTGTAAATTTTATTTCAGATGCAGACCTTGGTTCTACTGCTAATAACTTTCTTGCGGGTGAATTTTCTGCAATATTTTTCATTGTAACAGGATGAAGTTTTTCCTACGAGAGTTCTTTAATATTTAACTTTGAAGGCAATATTAAATTAGATTAGTGAATATACTTACCCACGATCTCATTACATCCCAAATAACATCCATTGGAGCATCGGTTTTTACCGAACCTGCCATTGCATGCGATGCTGACACTTTATAACCTTTGTTCAACAGTGCAGAACTAAAACAGTTATTAATAAAAAAAATTATCGGTTTACTAACAAAGAATATTATTTTGTAAATTCTTATTTACCAAAATTGCTTTAATGGTGGATTTGTACAATTCAATTTACTTGAAAGTACTGAAATACTATGAAAGAGAGGAACATCAATTTCCTATTTTAAAATAATAAGAATTAGAACCAAATTTTGACACTTCCATATTTATAGTTTCGTTCTTACCTCTGAAATTACTGTTAACATTCCTAACATACGTGCATGGGTTCCATACACCTCCGTACTCGAATTTTTTACATGTGTAAGCATTTTTCGAACAAATTCTTTATCATGTATAGAGGAATTCCATATAGGACCTCCAACCTAAAAAAAGAAACAATTCTTTTTTTTAAGTAGATATTAAATAAGAATAAAATACCCTATATAATTACATGAAATTTATTTCCACAATGTTCACAATTGCTATTAACAATAGGTCCAACCATAGGTACATAAGAATTGTTTTCCTTTAATTTAGCTAATGGTTGCAAATAATATGATTTACAACCTGTACAAACATAAATATGTGATGTATTACTGATATCAATAAAATGCACTAAATTAGTACGTTTTGATTGTTTAAAGAAAATTTTCATTCTCTCCTTTTTGCTTACCAGCAATTTTTTTTTACTTCAGCAGCTGAAATTACAACACGAACAAATACTCTAATATAGAAATCTATGCTACAAGATAGCAAAGGAATTATTTGTCTTTGATATCTTGCAGCACATGTTGATAATGTATAGAGAAGAATTCTTAAAGCCTTTAATGATAAATTTATCGTTAGTCAATTTGCATGATCTGTTTTTGAAAATCTTTGCATATATATAAAATAACCAACCATTTCATGACAAAATTCTCCCTTAGTAGGTATCGATCCATAATTTGCATAGCTGATGTTTACATATTTATTTTAAAAAAGTTTGTTATAACGGATAAAATAAATTTTATAAATAAAAAATTCTACCATTTCTCGGGATAAGTTGATCCAGTGAGAACAGCCAAATCGGTACAAGTAATACAAAGTAGGCCTAATCTATCATCCAGTAAGAAATGTTTCGAAAAGAATATAAATAATTACATATTTTGTCATACCTCCATTTTGAACAGATTGTACTGCCGCATCTAAAAAAGGCGAAGCTGTTCCATACGGGTCAATGTCGACAACATCAAATCGTTTATGGTATTCTATATGCTGATACATCAATGAACTAAAATTATTTCAGTAACCTAATCGTTTCAGGTTACAAATTTATATAGATTTTTTTCGTATAAAATTTACCATGCATCACCTTGATTTGCTCTGACTAATTCTTTGCTCAATCCATTATGTTCTACATTTTGGTTAATTGATTTGACAGCATCAGCATCTAAATCATTAGCCACTATAAAATCAATGTTAGGTAGTTCTTTAGCGTAACGAATCGATCGTAGACCGCTTGCTGCTAATGCCTCTAATATGGTAAAAGTATTATTCTTTGATTGTACTATTGCTGTGCTAGTCTCTTTTGTTTTACGTGCTTTTTTCTCTTTCTCTTCCAAGAAAATTTCGCTCCAAGTTCTTATAGCTGCAACTGACATATCTCTATTAAACTGTTGTACTTTATTATAAAATACTGCATTATCTTTTGGAAATAAAATACTAGCTTTCCCTTCAGTGATTACACTGAAATCTTCAATATTGATATTAGAAGTTGTCATGATTCCTCTGATAAAAAATAAATTGGTTGATATTTTAAGGTTATCTGAAAATTTTATTCGTTTGCTAATTCTATAAAAATTGTGAAAACTCTTCGTAAATAACATGATTAGCTGCTGAAATACTTATTCTCTCAAATATATGTGCACATCACGTGAATTATATTGCGTAAAAATCTAGTGTAACTCGAGTGCGTCATCAAACGTATGAGAATAAAATTGATCGAGTGCCAACAAAATATCCTCAATATCGAATTCCTATAATGGTAGGCATTAAACATTAAACATTTGTCCTCAAATAAGTCTGCATTTGCTAAATTATTTCATTTCTTTTTAGTTTCGCAACCAATATGATAATGATATTTCGACTTGGAGTCCCCAAGGTCGTATTCACCAAATTGAATATGCTTTGGAAGCGGTAAAACAAGGGTCGGCTGCAGTTGGTTTAAGATCAAATACTCATGCTATCTTGTTGGCATTAAAGGTAAAGCATTAGAATCTTTGTCGTTTATTATGTTATATAATTATGAGCTTCGTAGCATTATTTGCTATTAATTTTGATAGAGATCCTCTGGAGAATTGGCCTCTTATCAAAAGAAATTAATTCGTATTGATGATCATTTGGGTGTCGCTATTGCAGGGTTAACTTCTGATGCACGTGTATTAAGGTAAAAATTAAATTAAAAATTGCAAGCATCGTACACTTATAACCTTATATCTTATCTTTGTACTTATATTACCTTGAAAAGTAACTTTATGCGGACAGAGGCAATGAAATCAAAAATGATTTTTGATCGACCTTTACCTATTTTCCGCATCGTTTCAGCAATTGGAGATAGTATGTTAACTTATTTATTTTTAATTTAACTGTAAAGATAATTGACATTTAATCTTATGTACAGAGGCACAAGTAAACACACAGAATTATGGTCGTCGACCTTATGGTGTTGGTCTTTTAGTTGCTGGATATGATGTGAGAATAACAATAATTTTTACAAGGTCTGCGTGGTTTTAATATTTATAACTTATCACTTCCGTTTGTTTTATTATAAATAGGAAACTGGTCCACATTTATATGAATGTGCTCCTTCCGGAAATTTTTTTGAATATTATGCCATGTCAATTGGTGCTAGATCACAGTCGGCAAAGACTTATTTAGAAAAGTATTATGAAAGTTTTGCGGAAGGTAATTTTATTTAAAAGAAACCATCTTTATTTCAAGTAATGCATACTAATTGAATTTTAAATAAATTAAAGCTTCATTAGATGAGCTTGTCCGCCATGGACTTAATGCGCTTCGTGATACATTACAGCAGGACAAAGAGCTTAGTACTCTTAATTGTTCTATTGGGATAGTTGGAGCTGATCAAAAATTTCAAATTGTCGAAGGGGAAGCATTGCAAGCTTATTTAAGTCTACTGGATACAGGTGCCCAAGAAGATCAAGGACAAGCACCAATGGAAACTGAGGATTAGTAAATTAGTATAAAATTAAATGTGATTGATTTTGCACCTTTTTTTTAGTAATAAAAAAAAAAATAATAATAATAAATATCAAATTATTATTTATTCGTAATGCCATCATTAAAATTATCATGTGAAAAACGTGACCTTGTGTAATCAGACTGCACTGACACATGATTCAAAATAAATATAATTTTGTTTTACCAAGTACATAAAAATGAATTCTTCCACTTTCCTTCCAGGCAACAATGATAAAACTGTCAGAACCCAATCAACAACTTTTCATATACAACCACATTCTAAACAAAAAGTTTCTTACTTTCACCATAAAGATGTTGGAAACTTTCACTTTGGTGTAGGTTTTATCTAAAAAAAATAGTTGCAATATTACCGTTAATTTTCAAAATATTTATGTCTCTTATAAAACAGTTACAACATCCAATGAAACCTCACCGTTTGACTTTAACGAACAATTTGGTTCTAAGTTATGGCCTGCATAAAAAAATGACGGTTTATTGTCCGCCTAAAGCGACCGATGATGAATTAATGGAATTTCATGAAACAGATTATATCAAGTTCCTAAAAGAAGTAACACCAGAAAATTCTGAAGAATTTGCTGAAGATTTTCCTAAGTTTAACATAAGTGAGGATTGTCCAATATTTGAGGGATTGTATGATTTTTGTCAGATATATGCAGGTGCTTCAATAGGCGCGGCACATCAATTAGCATCAGATGGAGCTGATATATGTATTAATTGGAGCGGAGGATTGCATCATGCGAAAAGATTTGAAGCTTCAGGATTTTGTTTTGTAAATGATATAGTTTTGGCGATTCAGCATTTATTAAGGTTCGTAAAAAAAAAGTTTTTTTGCATGAATTTTATATATTTTACTTAAAGTAGTTCGTCATTAAAAGGTTTTATCCGCGTGTTTTATATATTGACATTGATATACATCATGGTGATGGCGTACAAGAAGCATTTTACGCTACAGATCGAGTTATGACAGTATCATTTCATAAATATGATAGTGGCAGCTTTTTCCCCGGAACTGGAAATATAAGCGAAATTGGTTATGGATTGGGAAAATTCTTTTGTTTAAATGTACCTCTCAAAGATGGAATTGATGACGATAGCTACGTTTCATTATTCAAGGATGTTATATTAGATGTAAGAGATCATTATCAGCCGAGCGTTATCGTATTACAATGTGGAGCAGATTCTCTTGGAAAAGATAGATTAGGAGGTTTTAATATAAGTATTAAAGCTCACGGAGAATGTGTAAAATTTATAAAAAGTTGGCAGATTCCTTTGTTAGTTCTTGGAGGTGGCGGTTATAGAATTTCTAATGTAGCAAGATGTTGGACTTATGAAACTGGAATATTACTTGATACCGAATTACAGCCTGAATTACCACAAAAGAATCATTATTATAATTTTTTTGGTCCAGATTTTTCATTGCATCCACCACTTGTAAGAAAGATGGATAATTTGAATACAAGAAGTGAACTACAAAAAATTTCACAGCAAGTTCATGAATTGTTGAGATTTTTGGATGGAGTTCCTAGTGTTCAAATGCAAGAACTTCCAGGGGATTTACAAGGTATATTGGATGAATCTGATGAGGAATTAAGAGATGCAAGGGAAGATCAAACTGTTGATGTTAGAGGTAGAAAACGTTTAATGTGGCATGATAATGAATATTTTGATGGAGATAGTGATAACGATAAAGATGACGATCAAAATATGGATGTTGATTTAAGCTAAATTATGTAATATTCATTATTATGAGGTAAATTAATTATGTTTTTTTTTAATATATCTGCTGATTCTTGTTCAGAGAATAACTTTTGATTATTATTATAATTCTCCATAAAGAACGCAACACGTATATGATTGCAATATTTGAGGTAAATAGAGGTAAATAAATAATTAATATCTTTGACTTTTAAAATTTTACTAATTCAATTTATTAAATTAATATTCTACAATTTAAATAATGACAAATGCTAACTCTAAATATTAAATCCAAGCAGTCCAACCTTCATACATTACACTCAAATTGTCTATATCAGTTGCTTGTTGAATAATTTTGTCAACCTAATAAATAACTAGTTAGTGGATGTTTAAAAATTAAGGGCAAAATTAAAAGTTATTCTACCTGTTCAGAAACACTCATTTTCGTATTTAAATCAAAATCTTTTCCTTCAAGTTTCGATTTGATTCTACGAATTAGACTAACAGCAAATGAATTCCTTGCTTGTGCTAAATATTTTCATTAAAAAAATAGTTTGAATTTCTTAATTAAGTTCATTAAAATAAATTCAAAGTAAAAAAATCATCATTTATTACCTATTCCAACGTTTCCAGTGACCTGAATTCCTTCATCAGCCATAACAAATGAACCACGTCTTACTGTATTATTATTATCTTTCAATGATAATTCTTGATCATCTTTTTGTGGAGAAATCAGGTTGTTGTAAACTTCATTTTGTTCTGTATATTCAACACCATTTGAGGTATTGTCTTGATCGTGTTTTATTTCGGGGGGTGCCAAAATTTCTTCATTTTCTAAATTTGTTCCAGCAGGCGATTGTTGGCGTGAATTCTTTTGATCGCTCGTGGAAGCCTCACAAAGTGTAAATAGTAGTTCAAATATGCGAGACAATGAATCAGAAATATCAGAAATAGCTCGAATCTACAAGTATAAATTGAAATTAATAAACCCTATTAAATGATGATAAAAAAAAATTCTTAAAAAAATAAAATATTACGCTTTCTCGATTTATATTTTCCAATATAGTTTCATTTTCAGAATCTGCAACAGCATTATTTCTACCTTTCTGATTTCCATCAAAAACTGTTAGCACATTATTGATAATCGTGTCTGCTTCAGTATCGAGTTTTGACCATTCGCGCATGAACTCCTACATGTAATATTATATAAATATTGACATTTATATATAGAATAATAAAAGTTTATTATATTACTTTCGCCCTGGATCGAATATCCTTTCCATTATCATCAATGTCTACTTCAACATTCGTAATCGGTTCGATCAAAAGAATTAAGTCAAGCATTAAAGAACGAATTTCTTCAAATGTATTATGGAATTCTTTAGCAATAATTTCAAGTTTTCGGGATATCCCTTTGTCCATTGATTGATCCAGCTAAACATTTGGTTAATTATCAAATTTTTTTTTTCCTTTTTATGCATATCCAAAATCATAAAATTCTTACCTCTAAGGCTGATAATTGTTGAATAATGTCTAATTCTGAGTTAGTTGTAGATTGTTCTCTAAATATGAGAAATATCATGTTATGAAATGAGATATGAGCATAATAGAAAATGTATATCATATATTATATCTACCCATATACGATCCCTTCAAGTCTTTTAACCAGTTGAAGGGTATCTACATCCATCGCCGTAGTCTTTTCAGTTACCGTTCGAAATGACTCTAAATGTAAAATCGAATTGCACAAACTCACTATATGTTGCATCTATTATAAGATTTTATATAATATTTAGTCAATAAAATAACCCATTATCCCAAAAAAATTAAAGAATTTATTCCACTTACCCTTTCAAACTCTTGCGCAAAAAGAATTTGTTGATTTGTTATTGATTCATTAAAAGATTGTAAAATTACTACATCGCTTCCTGCAAATTGTTTTGTAATCAATTCGGCAACATCAACTTCAATTGCTCTATATTGAGTTACTAACTCTTGCAATAATGTATCCAGTCTAACAAATCTGTTCACATCTTGCTTCAAATTTTCTAAGAACTAAACATAGATTGTCTAGATTTAATAATTATATTTTACATTTATAGTTAGTTATATAAATAACAGTACTAGATTAAATGGTTTACCTGCTTTCGAATTAAACTTTCGTCTCCGACCAATGTCTCATTTATCCATTCAAATCTCATTAATTCCATTTGGCGCTGTTGTAATTCCATTTCAATTTCAGTTTTTTTCATATTTATCTATAAATATAATTTCATAAGATAAGAAAATTCGATTGAAGAATTAACAAAGATTTTTACATACCATAGCAACGATATTGATCTTGGACCCTAAATAACAATATTGAGTAACCTTTTGCATTTGAGATTGAAATTCTTCATTTGCGAAGTATCCACTATTAATTAAGTTCTCGACACTAAAAGTTGTTATTGCTCCGGTATTATCAGTCTCGTTTGCATCAATTCCGGCTCCAAATAAATTACCAAGTTGATTAATTGAAATATCAAGTAAATGTTTAATACTTGGAATGAAAAAGTCAGAAATACACCAATATACAACTTGGTAAAGCCTTTGAAGAGAATCAGAACTATTCTTGAAAGACTCTGTCATAGCGATGGAAGATATCCATGCATTGTTTTGATTGGGTTGGTAATTTTCTTTACAGAAATCTTCACATGCTAACAAAACATTTGAAATTACCTAAAAGAATAAGAAAAATAATTTTAATTTGTTTCATAATAAATTTGTATAAAAAATTTATATATTTACATTAAGTTTATGAACAGTAAAATCATCCAAAACGCTTTCACTAATTAAATATTCTCCAACGTTCTGTAAACCGAGAGACTCTTTGAATAAATTCTAAATACAAAATTAAAGTATTTATCAATAAACAAAACATTATTATAATTAACAATATTAAACATTTACCTGAATCTTCATAATAGAATTTTGTAACTCACTAAATAATTCATCAAATCCATTAATAATTATGCTGATTCCCCCATTTATTGCTTGGTTGCCACTTCCTTCATTATAAATCATATCACAAATTTGTTTGAATGATTGGTTCTATTGTTTGAAATATTTATTATTGGTCTTATTTTTAAGAAACTTAAAAATTACAAGTAGCAATAGTTACCATCGAAAAAACTACAGAATGAGCCTCTGTATTTTTCATTTCCCAATAATTAAAAGTATCATTTGATAAATCACATAAGATACCATTATATGGCTCTAAAGAATTTGGAGAATTACATAACATTTGGAAAACCTTTGGCAAGATAATGTTCTCGAAATTATTAAATAAGGAATATATAAACCGGGTAAGTTGTAGCAGTTCAGTTGTAGTCGATAAAATATGTGTAAGAGTTTCGTCATTTGGATTTGTCACTAAGTGTAAAAAATATAAAATTAAATCTATTATCAAAACAAGAGATGTTAATGAGTATACAATATAGTTCTAAGTGTACCTGTTGCAAAATGGATATGATGATAAATGAAGAAGATTGTTCCTATGAAGGTTAAGAAACCAGATTTATCTAATACTTGATTAGATAATACATTTCTTACTGCTTGTTGGAAATTATCATCAAATCCCATAAATCCGAACACTTCGTCCATAGTTCCATTAGGATTGACCAATTTTTCCTTTAATTCGATAAGTGAATTCACTGTACATGCCAAGCTAAGAATTCTTCCAAATTTTTGCCCTTTCAAATTCTGTTCAGAAATCAAATTGTTTAACATAATGTGTAAAGTTGAGTCACTTAATCTACCATTTTCTGACGAAATCACTAAAGCTTCAGTGATTGTTAAACTTTCTTGTAGAATATTTGAACATGAAATTTGAAGTGTTTCCCAATTTTGTTTAAAATCATTTCCATCATTTCCAAATTGATGATGCGGGTTCTCCAAATTAACATTTTCAAATATTTTTTGAAAATCTTTTTTTTCAAATCCAGAATCTAAAAATTCTCCTAGCAACAGCGGCCACTTTCCATAATAATCTTGGGATAATAATACTTGTATAATTGGAAGTATTAAGGCTCGATAAAATTGTAACCTTTCAAGGCAATTCTTAAATGCATTATTACGCTCATTCATCCACCCAAAAAATTCTTGATTAATATTTGAACAACGTTGAAGGAGATGATCATTTGTCGATATAATTTGTGTGAAATTTCCAAACAGCGGTGATCCAATCTGTGAACTTGATGCAAAAGCTTCATTGTACATTACTTGTAAAAGTGGTCCCTAATCAAATTTTGTAATTAATTAACATATACATATAATAGGTAAGTTGAACCTAAAAAAAGCTTTTTTTTTTACCTGTACAGACTGGATAGCCTTTTCATGTTGCGCATGCCATAATGCACATTCACTTGCTCTCTTTGAGAGTGTTGATTTTAGACTTTCAAATTCTAACTGATTATTATTAACGTTCTTTACTACCCCTTGGCGTATTATTTCAATATTACTAAGGCTCCGATCAGCCTGAATACTTTGGGATCGTTGTGGATCATTTGTTGGTGTTTCAATACTTTGATCGTTTTCATTATGATTATTACGTAAATTTTCATATGATTTTAAGAAGTCCGATACAATACTTGATAGTTGTTTTTGATTATTCTCGAGTGGTACTCGAAGTTCAGCTAAAAAAAAAAAAAAATGTTAATAAGAAAAAAAATTATAATTAAACCGAAAAAAAAATTATATTCTTATATTTACCGATTCTTGAAGTTAACAACACAATATTCTCTTCAAGTTCCATTATCTGTTTATCTTTATTTTCTGATAAATCTTGATTCCAATCGACTAAAGGATCATAAACGAAAGCTTCAAGCAAAGTTATTAACATTTCTTTATTCTCCCTCATTACTCTAAGTGCATGCTCACACGCAATTCTAAAGACTCCTTCTACTCCTGTGATGCCAAGTGCTGTTTCTAAATTTTGTGTAAGTCGGAAAGGTATAGTTTCCGGTACACGTAATTTCTTCCCTTTCTCAAAACAGACATTATAATCAATATGTATAACTTCTCCTTGATTAAAATCGATTAAAATATTATCCAAATGTCTATCACCTAATCCAATTATATAGCCTATAATTGACATTACAGCTAATGATCTCGATAAAGAAATATTCTTATCCCACCATTCAGAAGGACTAGAACATGATGACCAAACTTCTTTTTCTAACAAATCTGAAGGAGTCTCCGAAATTAATTCAAGGAATACTGATTTCAAAACGGATTTTGGCCAATTGCGCCTTGAAGATGATGTAGCCCATCCTTCTTTCTTTAATGCCTTTCCAATTTTTTCAAAAAACATATCACTTGGTCGGAGTGGATTACCAGCGATCTCCGCATTGTTATTAGTTTGTAAAAGTTTTGCAAAATGTTCTCGATGTTGCCACTTCTTGTAGAGAACAAACATACATGTAGCATTTTCGACCCACTGAATCATACCTGAATGGTCACCTAAAGGAATCACTGCATAGTGTCTAGCCCTCAATTTTCTGCTACGAGACTGCTTGTCCCTATTGAATAAATCATTTGTAATTCGCAGTAATTGCATAATTCTCTCGTCCAAATGAAGATCTTCAAGGCCTTTGAATAAATATCCATATTGCTTCCCATCAGAACCAAGAAGAACCAATTTTTTAGGCTTTGTTTTTGTAGGTAAAATGACTACATTATCATTAAATGATTGAATGAAGACAGTCTCATTGTGCGTGGTTAATCCAGGCATCGTAATTTGCGACGATTTAATTTTACTTAAGAATGGGCTAACATCTGACAGCTTTAATGTTCGACTTGTATGTAACTCTTTCGTCAAGTCCTTATGAACCTGTATTCATAAATTTAAAAATGTTTCTCAATTATAATATGTATAATATTTTTTTTTTTAATGATAATTTTATACTCACACTCCTGAACAGATCCCATCCTTCCTTATACGTATTCCATGAAGTCGGAGTACGTAATTTTTCTAATGCATTACGGATTCTACTTCCAAAAGTTTGATTAAACCACTGTTCATGTGGTGTCGACGCTGTTGCAATAGTAATATTATACAGTCTTTCAAAAGACGAAATTACAGGTTTCATGATTGCATCATAACTTTCCTTCGTGATTTTACTTCTCTGGTCAGATGTCAAGTTAAGATTATCATTAATTCTTTCGAATTCATTCTCAACTTTATGTAATCGTCTATTGATATCAAGTTGTAATCCACTGATTTTGTTTAACCATTGTTCTTCCCATAAAACTGTGATGTGCTGTAACTCCTTAATGACTTTACGAATTTCGGCAATTAATGCACCATTCGAATAATCCAAACTATCAGCAATTTTCTTAAGTAACTGATTATTCTGTTCGCTAGCTCCGCTAGAGTTTGATGCGACAACTGTATGATATACGACTAGTTGAGGTGAATTAATAGCGATTGCACAAAGTAGTTTACATAGTTGTTGTTGAACAAATGGCTCAGGATGATCTAGTCGCGAAAACAATTGAGGAATAATTTTTTCCCAGGCTCTATAATCTATATTGTCAAATCCTCGAGTAAATTGAGATTCCAAACAAGTTCCATACTTCACTAATAATCTAAATAACCTAAGAGCTGCGGTAGTTATGTCTGATTCTTCAACAGGTTTATTGCAAACGTTCTGAAAAGGTCGAAGTTAGGAACATGAGATATTATTGTAGACGAGAAAAAAACTCAAAACCTTTGTATCACCTCAAATTTATTCATTCTTTCATTCTTTTTTCCATAAGCTAATTGGAGATATTTAAAATATCCTTCTACTGCACATTTGTAAGAAGTAAAAATTTCTTCTTGCAAATTGTGGAAAATTTTTATAATTTCTTCTGTAGATTTTTCAGAAATCCAAGGAATAATTTCCTTAAACTCCAATTCATCATTTTCAAATTTGGAACGAGATTCGAATTTTCTTAAGAAAAGCTGAAATAAACCCTAATATTAAAAAAATGTGAATGAGTTTTATATAATTAAAATAAAAATCAGCGCAAATGCTATTTTGTAACTTTAATACTTTAAATAATACATCAAATTCGACCAAATTGTCATGATTTGAATCTTTCCAATCATTTGTTACAAGTTCTTGAATTTTATTTCGCGGGACAGTAATTAAATTAATGGTAGTTTTATTACTACCAATTTCTTCAAGTATTTGTCGTCCTCTTTGATAATGATACGTAGCATATGAGAACCAAGCTTTATCATAAGAACTATCCCCTTCGACAGCGCGTGACAGGCAAGATTCCACAATAGACCTACTTTCGACATAATTTATAGGCTCGGTTTCGTTGGTTTCCTTTGTGATTGTTGCATTCAGGAGGAAATGGATTTCGGAGAGGGTTTCATTACTTATTACATTTTCCGAATTTTGTAACCATTTGGCAATCTTTAGATAAATCCTCTGTCCAAATCCTTGCAAATCATAAAAAGCAGCTGAAATATTCTTATTATCGCCAAATACTGAGCAAGCACGAATAATAGCTTCTTGGGATTGGCCTTGAGCGTACATTGTTTTAGCCTGTTCCATAACAACTTCAGGAGGTGAATCTTGCTTCCAGTGATCTAAAAGTGAATTTGCAATTTGAAAGGCAGAACTTTTTCTTGCGATTTTAGCCATCATAAGCTTAAATACATCAACTTTTTCCTGCAATTGTTTAGATTGAGAAGTTTCATTTCTTAAAGTGAGCTGATCTATGCTTGAATTTAATGCGCTCCATATCTCTAAATCACTAACAAAAGTGTCTGTAAAAGATATGTGCTGATATTCTTTAGTATAGTCTACAAATTCGTTCAAAAATGTTTGAATGCTTTCAACGTCAGAATTTGCAATTGATGCTTTAGCCAACAATGGAATTGTATTTATGAGTGAACTTTCAAAGGAATATCGAGAAGCAGCTTTCAAAATAGCATATACGAAATGATGGTTTGGTTCAGAAGCTTCTACATTAAGAGTTCGCGCTAGCATTCCACGGAAGGAACAGAGAGAGTATATAAAGTTTGCTGCACGAAGATTAATATGATGCTCAGATATTTGTGGGGGCTTAGATTCAATAAGTTCCCATGCAGAAAAATGTTCTCCAACGTAGTGTTTGGTCAACGATTCCAAATAATGTTGGTTTAACTGTGCCAAAGGGTCTGTGATATTTCCGTTAAGATCAAAAACATTTAACCATTCAGCGAGAGAAGATAAATCATTAGTTTTACAATAACTATCAATTATCTGAAAAATTAGTAAAATTGGAATGTAAGTTAATAAATTCTCCAAAAATCAATAAAATAAAATTTGGCTTACTTGAGAAGTCAAGAATTGAACTTGCGGAGATATCACTAGCATTTCTGGATCAAGTTTAAGAAGACTGTTTAGGGCTTCTTTACTCTCCTTTGCAGCAGATTCATATTTTGCTTCCGCAAATAAATGAGAACTATTCATCCAATAAAAATGAGCGGAATTTGGAATGGTTTTGTTTGTTGGTTTGCGCTGAAGCAAAGTTCCTGAAGCCGATCAAAGATAAATTTTATTATGTCTCGAACAAATTTTTAAATGTTATGCTCAACTAATACTCACGTTGGGTAGGAGACTGTGGTAAAACGGCTATATTAGTTTTGTTTCCTGTCTGCATGTCATCAGGTTGACCCAATAAACTAGGTTCTGATTTTTCGTTACTTACGCAAATACGTTTTGACCAAATTAATAACCCAATTATACTATCAACAGCGTTTATTCTTTGGAGACACTGAACTAAAGTAGACAATAATTTAGCTAAAACACAAAGGTAAAGCAAATAATGTTGATTGTAACTCACCAGCATCCATTAACATTTGTTGGAATTCCATTATCCATGTCATTCTGCTTTTAATTACGCCTTGTTTCAATAAATTAACTCGCTCCGCAAGAGACTAAATAAAACTAGATTAGCTTAATTCAAAATGATATATTTACTAGAAATTATTCAAGGGAAATTACCAGCAGACAATGCCTAATGGCCAAAGTATCATGACCAACAATCTTGGAACCTTTTACAATACTAGACCTAATTCGAGAAAACCAGTCATCACAAACTTTGCGATTGGTTTTAAAAAAAACTATACTTGCACGTGGGGCTTGCGGCAATTGTCCAAGAGCGGTACCAACAGCTGCATTGTATATTTGAAGCTCCAAGCGATCGATTAGGACCAATAAATCGCGTAATTGATTTAAATTATGCAAACTTAAAAATATACATTTAATTAACAAATAATTTAATCTAATTTCATTAAACGAAAAATCTATTACCTATCATGAATACTCGTATCATCGAGCTTATAAACGATAGTAGCATCTTGTATTAGAAGGTCATTTAACCTTTTTTCAAAAGCGTCGAATGTCTAGTGCATTATGAAATTATGAGTAGATATCAAAAAAATATTTCACCGAAAATCAGTATTAATAATGAATAAAATACTTGTTTAGGTCCTCCAAATGGCGTCCGTAGCCTAGACAATACACAATAACGAGCGACTTCCCAAAGGCTCCAAAACGTGAGAAGATCGTTAGAGTTGGCAATTGCACCAGCTATATCACTTTCTGAATATACTTTGATAAAATTTTGTTGTTATTATATTATATTATAAGCCAATGATTGTAACAATAAAAAATCAATATACCAAATTTTATATCATCCTCTTCTTCAATAGGATTTCCTTTGTCGAATCCCTCAACAGACTGACATGAATGAAACAATCGAAGCCGCCATTGACCTTTATAATATACATCATCATTTATGATATCTGGTTCATCTTGAGAAGATAATAAATCTTTCATGCCAAGGTGCGACATTACAATCTGAAAGTGTGGTGGTCTAAAGTTGCCTAAATGAGGAGTTGCAGAAACATTCGTCTAAATAAAAAATCAAAATCAAAAATCTAAAAATTAACCGAAGCATGTTGCAAATTATATAATAGTAAATCACGTACTTTAAAATTTACGATAAACTGATCTACTAAAGGGTCAATTCGAAAAGTACCATAGAGAGGATTAAGGTAATCAATTAATCTTGAAAATTCACTTTGTATATTGATGTCTGAATCAAACAATCTAAAAATAAAAGAAAAAATAAAATATTAATTAAGTTTTAGAAATTAGTAAAAAAACCAATAAAATATTTACCTGTGTGCAATCTTGATCATAGCGTTCTTATGCAATTTAAGAGATCCAAACACGTCAAAGTAACCACGAATAATTTTAGGTATTTGAAGACGAATATCATTACTTTTGACAACTCCTAATTAAATTTTAATTTTAATTTAACAACATAATAATAATGAATTAACCTGCACTTAACTTACTTGCAGTAATAACCAAAGAAATAATAATATTTTCAATTTCTCTTCGAACGTTTTCTTTTATTTCTTTTGAATGAAATTGGTAACCACCACAAAATTCTAAAAATTCTTTAAACCAATCAAGTGCTAAAGCTAAGGTACTTAATGAGATTTCATTTGGAAATCGAAGGAATGCAGTAAGAATAGTAACCATGGCACAAAAAGCTGAGGGAAGTGGAGAACCAATTTCGATTTTGGTCATAAAATAATTCTTACTATTAAAATATAGTTAATTAACAGAGAATAAATTTATTAGATAAAATTAACTTATTAACCAAAATGTAATACCTTCGACACGTTCGCCGCAAAGCCTTAAGCAAAGTACACATAACTAAAACATCAAAATGACCACTTTCCCCGATCTTATTTGACATGACATAAAAAACCCAAAAAATTTCTCGATTGTGATGCCATGAATATGCAAGATCTGTCAGAATTTCAATATCGAAGATAAGTATTGAAGTAGCGGTCCTAATATTTATTGAACAGTCTTTCAATGAGCTATCGTTAGAATTTAAAAGAGATCGTAAGCTCTCGATAAATTGAACTAAAGTTTGATCATGTTTAAATTCATTTCTGTTCAAAATATCACTCCAATGTAACTGTGAAGGGATTCTTGATGAAGTATCTGAATGAAATAATATACTCATCATTCTTCCAATTTCACTTGTTATATTATGAATCAAAGTCATTTCATCAGTTTCAGATCGAGGAATAAAAGAAGCTTGATTTTGAAGCACAATATGTAACATATCCAGTAAATCAGAACTCATACGAGCACTATAAGAATTCCAGCGAAGTTTCATCAAAGCGGAATCTGGATTTATTAGAATATATATCACCTCAGGATGAATTGAAGGTATCCATTGTGCAAGAGTCTAATATTTTAGTATAAAATTAGGAATATAAATATATTTATTTTTTTAATTTTAAATAATAAAAATAGATAAATAACCTGAAGAAATCCATCAAACCACTCATCCACGCTTTGTATCGAAAGATCCATATGAAAACCATTGTGAATTTGCAACAACCAAAATTTAGCTGATTGAATTTGATGTTGTACAAAAAAAGGTTTTCGCGACATGCTCAATGTTTGGATAATTTGTTTTCCTGAAAAAGTCAAAAACTTCTTTGTCAAATTTATTGACAAACTTTTGGACTCTATAATAATTACATAGTTTGACTTAAATCACAATGATTTAATGCAGCTTGCACCTTTTTCGAACCATTCAGCATCCATATACATTTCTCCTATAACCAATATGAACTTAATAATCCAAGCACGAAGTCGATCATATGGATGCGTACTTTCATTAATTGTTGTTTCATTAAATTCATCTGATGATACTTGAGGTAAAATCGTGGCAACAGCATCGGCCACTGCATGAAAACAACTAAGAATGCAAAACAACATTATTTTAATTTGGAAACTTTTAAGATAAACATATATATTGTCGGTTTACCTCAACAACGCTTTAATATTACTCTGTATTGTCTCTTCTTCGGCCGTTTTCTTGTCAATTTGAGGTCCTTCTTGAGACACAGTCACGCCTGTGAAAACTTCCATGTCCGCCAAAAAATGACTCATCAGCTCATAAGCAAAATTTAAATATTGAGACCAAAAAGGCCGTAGTTTTTTGAAAGTTTCTAAAAAGAAGCAGATTAATTTATAAGTACTAGACAACAAATTAAATATTCAATTATTATAAAAGTAAATACCAGCGATAAGACTTTGAAGAGAGTCTGATACAGATGTATCAATGTACCATCCAACCAATAAATCAATTACATCCTACGTATTTATTTAAAGAAACCCACAATAATATGTGGATACATACTGATAAAAAATTTCTTTAGAAAGAGATCAATAAAAGAATATAAATTAACTACCTGAAATCGTTCTCCAAATTCTTGGGGATATTTTTCCGCTATTTTTTCCAACACTTCTAAGATGCCCGGAAAACAATCTGACCTATCCATCGAGTCAAGTAAGCCTTCCAAATCCTGAAGAAGTCCAGGAATAAATTGCTGGAAAGGTCCCGAAGTCGAGACATTTTGAGAAGTTCCCGAAACATTGCGTGAGAGGACCTATACATATAATATATAATAATTAATATTTGAAATCAGGTAGATTAATTCAATAAAATTAAAGAACCTTTGTTCTTACCTCTTTAAGAGAGAACAATAACCAAATTTTACGTTCCTTTTCTCTTTCAATAGAATTTGTACTAGTAATTTGTAGCCTTTCAAATAACCAATGAAAATATGAACTTATTTCATTATTCAAATTAAAAGCAATTAAGGCTAAACATTTTGCCACGGTAGTTTTAAAGTTTACGGTCGCTCTGTGGAGAAAAAAAACCATCATAGTAAATGCATTATAATCAAACTTTATATTTAATCAGAAACCACCATTTACCGAATGTCTTCAAAGACAGTTTCAAATACTGAGGAATTTCCTTGTATTCGAGTAACTGCATCGAATATCTGCATTTTTTCCCAAGACGAACAAGGGTCTGACAGTAGGGAATTAATTTGATGTACATGAGATAAACGTCTCTCATTTTCATCGCTTATACGTGAAAGAAGTGAATGTATGCGTGAAAGCTTTGCAGACTCTAAAATTAAAAAAAGATTAATAATAATAAATAACGGATTTAATCTGTAATACCATACCTCTATTTTCCTGGCTGTGTGAATGTTGAAAATGCGATTGCGTTTGGTGCTGACGGTGTTGATAGGAAGAACGCCTACCGTACCTATTTCTTGATCCACTCATTACAAAATTCACGTTTTAGCGATCTAAATTGCAAATCTAAAAAATATTAAATTATTATGACGCGTAAATAATATAGTCGTGATATTGGAACAAAAATTTTGGTCTTAAACTTCTCGAGATCTTGTGCCTGTGTAACTTAAATGATCTTACGATCACATGTTTCTAAGGAACTGATAACTTAATTAATATAACAGATAATATATTATTATATAATATATTATTATAGGATTGCAAGAATAATATAGTTTATATATTAATTCCATGTAACAAAAATTTTAAGATAAAATAATTTTGGTCAATATTGAATTTACAGAAATGAAATAAATATCAAAATATTTGTCTCAATAAGTAAAAATGGGTATCTTTACAAAATATATGATTGAGATTAAAGATTAATTTGATTTTATAAAAAATATAATCTTAATTTCAAACTAATCATAATTGAAATTTCATATGAAATTTCAATTTTAAATTAGAAACAAAAAGCCAAATTAACCACTAGATATATTAAAATTACAAGTTTTAACCTTTTTTTGTTATAAGGATGCTTATATATAAGTAAATTTATACATTTGGTATATTGTAATATTAGCCAAAATTATTATAGTATTGGTCAAGAATGCTTACTTTTAGGTAATATAAAAATCTGGAAATGCTTTAGAATTTTATAGTATATATAAATTTGTAAAATAAATAAAATAAAAGATTTTAATTAGATTTTTACTTATAAATGCATATGCAAGAAATGCATCAACATGCATCTTGTATCACTTTAATACTAAAAAAATAAAAATTTTTTTAGTATTATACAATTTAATCTGTATTAAAAAATCTGACTAGTATTAATAAACTTAATTAGCAAACATAATTCCAATCTAAATTTCATATAAATTAAAATTAAAATATTAATTTTAATTTTAAATTAATCTTAATAATCCAAATATCCAATTTCAATTAGAAAATAGTAAAAACATTTAATATAATATATAATTAGTAATTATTACTTTAAATTTAAAGTAATATATAAAATTATGAAAATAAGCATCCTTTGAAAATAAGTATTTCTATTGATTCACAATAGCACTTGTAAAAAATTAAAAATAAGTACCCTTCATAAGCACCTGAAAATTGAAAAGTGCACAACTAAGTAAAATGTAAAAATTATATTTTTCTACTAGTAAACTGTTTTTTTTATTAGTATTACCAGTACTGTATTTTATTATAATATTTATTTTTTTAAATTTTATAGTAAAGTGGCTTTATAAAAAACAAACTTTAGCTTTAAAACAGAAATGTGTTAAGTATACTTTTCGTCAAAATGACAAAATACTAATTAAATTTATTTTGACAGACATAATGTATTTTGACAGATGTAATTAATTCATAATAATTTTATAATAAATAGTGAATTGGTCCGTTCGCCGAAATATGATGTAATTAATTAGTGGAGAAATATAGTGTTAAGTACAAAAGAAGAATTTTTACATTTACTTAAAAAATGGTATTAATATTTCATTTTATACTTATTTTTTGTAGGAATATTTTTTTAATATATAGATTTCAGTACTGGTACTGAATGTTTAATACTTTTCTACAAAGAAATAAAATTAAAAAGTGAAATAAAAAAAACTGATATTACTAATAAAATTTTTGATAATTATAATTTTTATTTAAAAGTATACTAAAGTATATAAGTTAAAATAAATAAATCATTACATGTAGTATTATTAAGTATAAGTCAAATTGAACCAAATTAAATAGAACTGATGGGATCAATTTCAATTTGATTTAACTTGTAGATTTTTAAATCACAGTCTGATTCAGTTCAACTTATCTTGTCAAGTTAATGAAGTCAAACTGATAGATTAATGGAATTGATAGATAAATTAATGGGACTAATGAAAAATTAATAGAACTGATATTAATAATCCTATTAGTTTGACTTAAAGATCCAAATCAATCAGTTTAGTTTAACTTTAACTTCAAATAGTTAAACCAAACCAGACTATTAATAATACTATTTAATCATATGTTTAATTAACTACTAATTGAAATAATTTCTGTAATATAAGAATTAATTAAATGTTAATTTAAAGAATAAGTGGACCAAATTAATAAAAATAGAATTTATCATTAAATTATTATAAAAATATAATATAAATATAAACTTAAAATTTTATTTTTATTATATTATATATAAAATTATTTCACTTTAAAAAAAACTAGATACTTTAAGTCAAATTACTACTAAAAATATAATAATCATATACTTATATGTATATTTGATTATTTTTTGTTTTGCTTTTATAAAGGTTTTTAAAGTTTTATTTAAGTATTTTTAAATATTTAAAAAATCTGTATAGCTTAATTGCCGATCTGCATGTGATTGATAGAATTTACATAGTAAAATACGGCGTTATGTTAATTAATAAAAAAAATGCCGTTTGAAATCTCTGTTTCCCCAAGAAACAACAATGTCAAATACATACATAGCTCCTAAAAAACTTGTTGCAACTGGCGCTATTATATCAGAACTTCATTATTATGTCCATATTTATATGACTTGTTTATTATTTTTTAAAAAAAAATTCAAGATAACTATTCCTATTTTGAGATTACGCTAAAACTTAATAAAAGTCCTTTTATTATTCATATATTTCATTATATTCATATTTTTTACAAACTGGATATATTTGTGAAAGAAAAAGAGATATAAAAGTGCGTAGTGTTATTAAAAATGTAATAGTTGACAGAAATAATAATCAAAAAAAGTTTTATAAGCGTCAAAGAAAAGTTAAAGAGCT